TTAGCTTTATCTGTTCTATTTTGAGTTCCTGAACAGGGCGGGGAGCGGGGGCAGGGAGTATTTGTAGATTACTTGTGCAATTAGGAAGAGCTGGAGGGCACTTGAGCTCTAAGCCAGGCCGTCACTATACGCTTGGGTAAGGTATTTCCCTCTCCAGACCTCCATGTCCCCCGTCTGTGTAATGAACAAATCACATCAGATAATTCTAGGGCTTCTTTCCAACTCAGAAGTTCTTGCAGCTTTAAATTGGAAACGTATTCCAAGGACAGTGCTCAAAATGTTCAGGGCTTGATCTGGGGGATCTGGCACTCAGTAGGTATCTTTCGGATGGCTGCTGAATGTTGAGTAATAATCCTTATGCAGTTTTAATAGTAAGAACAGCTGTATGCCAGTAAATGCTGCAGGTGAGTAATCTGCATCCCCAACCTTGGATAAATGTCAGAGAGCCCATGGCAGGGAAGCAGATACAAATACAGGCTTTGGAGGGATTCAAACCTGGGTTCCAATACCCGCCCTTCCACTTGGCTGCTATGGGATACTGATCAATTACTGACTCTCTGTGACTCGCAGTCAGGGCTGAGCTGTGACCAAGTATGGTTACTATTTCTGTTCCAGCCTGGATGTTACGGTCAGTTACTCACTCGAAAAACATTCATTGAGCACCAACTGTGTACCAGCCCCAGGGATACAGATATAAGGAAAATAGACAAGAAGTTTACGGTCCCTTCTTGCCTCCTGCCCTTTCACTGTCCCTGAGCACCACTGCTCTGAGCTGTCCTGGGACAAGCCTGAGGACTCGGAAGGGGAGAGGGGAAGAAAAAGGGGGGTGAGGCCCTGGCGAGAGCTGCCTGAGCATGTGGAGGCAGGCTCTGCCTCAGGCAGAGCTCTAGAAGCCGGGGTAAGACCATCTGTGCCTGAATCGGTTGTCTCCTCTCTGTCTCTGGGCCTCAGATTCCTCTGCTGCCACATGGGGGTAATGTCTGTCTCCTGGGCTTCCTCTGGGCATCCAGCAGATACTGACACGAATAAAGCTAATTTTCTTGAGCTCTCTCTAGGTGCCAGGCTCCGAATGAAGACAAATGTGTGCATCATCTCATTAACCTGACAACAACCCAGATTTATTCACAGAGAAACATGGACAGAGAAGTTGAAAGATCTTGCCCCAGATCTCGCTGCTGCAAAGGAGCAAATAGAGGGTTGGAATCCACATGCTGCGACTTCCGTCCGTGCACCCAAACCACGGCAGCCTCCCACCTCCCACTCACACGGGTGTTCGGCCACTTAGGATGTAACCGAAGGGCTAAGGATCCTTATCACGCACGTCACTACAGGCATGCCTCGGAGATATTGTGGGTCCCGTTCCAGACCACCGCAGTAAAGTGAGGATTTCAATAAAGCGAGTCAAGTAAATTTTTTAGTTTTCCAGTGCACATTAAAGTTATGTTTGCACCACACTATTACATCGTAGTCCATTAGGTGTGCAACAGCATTATGTTTTTTAAAAGCATACTGAAGGGGCGCCTGGGCGGTTTAGTCTGTCAGGCTTCCGACTTCGGCTCAGGTCATGATCTTGCGGTCTATGAGTTCGAGCCCTGCGTCGAGCTCTGTGCTGACCGCTCGGAGCCTGGAGCCTGCTTCCGATTCTGTGTCTCCCTCTCTCTCTGCCCCTCCCCTGCTCATACTCTGTCTCTCTCAAAAATAAACATTAAAAAAAAGCCTGATCAAGTCCATACCTTAATTAAACCTTTATTGCTAAAAATGTGAACCATCATCTGAGTTTTTGGTGAGCCATCATCGTTTTGCTGGTGGAGGGTCTGGCCTCAGTGGTGATGGCTGCTGACTGATCAGGGTGAAGGTCGCTGAAGGCTGGGGTGGCTGTGGCAGTTTCTTAAAATAAGCCCGCATATTGTGCGCCCCATCAATTGACTCTCCCTTTCACGAATGATTCCTCTGCAGCAGGCGATGGTGTTTCATAGCATTTTAGCCACCGTGGAAACTCTTTCAGAATTGGAGACCGTCCTTGCAAACCCCACCGCTGCTTTCTCAGCTACGTGTGTAGAACCTTCTGAATGCCTTCTTGTCACGTCAACAGTCTTCGCGGCATCCTCACAAGGAGCACAGTTCATCTCCAGGAACCACTCTCTTTGCTCATCCGTGAGAAGAAGCAATTCCTCCTCTGTTCACGCTTACCACGGGTTTCTAGCAATTCGGTTCCCCCTTCAGGCTCCACCTCCAGTCCCTGCTCTCCTGCTGTCTCCACCCCATCTGCAGCTACCTCCCCCACTCAAGTCTAGACTCCTCCACCCTTCCATGCGGGATGGAATCCACTTCGTCCGCACTCCTGTTAACGTCGCTGTCTTGACCTCTCCCGTGAATCAAGAACATTCTTAATGTTCTTCAGAATGGTGAATGCTTTCCAGAAGCCGCCATAGACAGGGAGTCCTCTGATGGATCCGGGCAAATTGGGAAGCTTCCTGTCCATCGGTAGCACACCCGGTCACCCAAGAGCTCCGATGGCGTGGGGATGTATGATGAGATTAATGCTGTTTTCAGGCCTGCTAACACAACATCCATTCTGCAGCCCACGGACCAAGGAGTAATTTCAACTTTCAGGTCTTATGATGGAAGAAATGCATCTGAAAGCCGCCTTGGCTTCTCCTCTCTAGCTACGAAAGTCCTCCGACAGTGGGAGCTTCCGTCTACACTGAGCCTCTGCTGTCTTCACGAATGACCGTAGCCAGATCTTCTGGATAATTTGCTGCAGCTTCTACACGAGTGCTTGCTGCTCCACACCCTGCACTCTTGGGTTCCGGGGGTGGCGTCTTTCCTTAAACTTCGTGACCCAATCGACTGCTAGCTTCGAACATTTCTTCTGTGGCTTCCGCACCTCTCTCAGCCCTCACAGAATGGAAGAGAGTTTGGGCCTTGCTCTGGATTGGGCTTTGGCTTAAGGGAGTGTGGTGCCGGGTTTGATCCTCATCCAGACCACTGAAACTTTCTCCAGATCAGCAGGAAGGCTGTTTCTTTCCTTATCATTCGTGAACTCACTGGAGTAGCACTTGTCATTTCCCTCCAGAACTTTTCCTTCGTGTCCACCGGTCGGCTAAGCATTTGGCACAAGAGGCCCAGCTTTCAGCCTCTCTGAGCTTTCGAGGTGCCTTCCTCACTAAGCTGAATCGTGTCTAACTTTTGGTCTAAAGGGAGAGATGTGCGACTTTTCCTTTCACATGCACACTTAGAGGCCACTGTAGGGTTATTCGTTGGCCTAATTTTAATATCACTGTGTCGTAGGAAATAGGGAGGCCCAAGGAGAGGGAGAGGGGCTGGGACACGGCGGATCAGTAGGGTCGTCAGAACATACACAACACTTACTGACTAAGTTCACCATCTTACATGGATGTGTTTCGTGGCGCTCCAGGATAATTACAATGGCAACATCAGAGATCACGGATCACAGATGGCCATGGCAAATAAAATAATGAGGGGAAAGTTGGAAATGTTGCAAGAATCACCAAAATGTGACACAGAGAGACAGATCAAATGCTGTTGGAAAAATGGCACCCGTAGGCTTGCTTGACAAACCTCCAGTTTGTAAGTAACACAATATCCGACAGTGCGACAGAGCGAACACGACAAAATCGTATGCCGGTGCGATTATAATTACAAAGCTCGGATATTATGTTAATGCGCATTCACATGCTGTTATGGCTGCCTCCAGTTCTGCTTCACTGCCTTATACACTGGCCGATGGGGAGAAACAGGGGCGTTTACTTATCAGGAGAGAATAAGTCCTCAACCTTTGGGGTTCATGGAGGAGGTGGCTTTTTCTCCATATAGGCCTTTGTTTTTAATTAAGAGCAGTAATCAGATGATCTTGCTTTAATTAACTCCCCTGATGCATCCACACTCTAGGAGCCTCTCTCTGATATTTTCGATGTCAAGTTTTTCAGCCTAAGATTATCTGCAGGCATGCGTCAGACATTTGCCATTTGCTGAATATGCCTGAAAGGTTAGCGTGAACTTCCACCCCCTTCTTTTTGTAGAGACAGCCCCCTCCTTCAGAGCAAACACATTTCAAGTCAGGAAGGGATTGTCTGTATTTGCTCCTTGAGTCTCTGACTTTTCTTTCTGTCTTTTCACGTTGGGTCTTCTGTTACCACAAAAGGAGTATGCATTTCATCTTAATTATGCATCTGCTTAATCCATAATTTCTGATTTATGTCTGTTAGCTCCTAATTATAAGAAGGCCACCCTTGAAAAGGAAAACCAAATGAGCTGAGAGAAACGAGGCTGAAAAACTAGGGTGATGATGGATTTAAGCCCTAAACTAAGGGTGCATCCTGAGGCCCGTTTATTGAAGGAAACTATTGTTGGCAATCCTACAGATTTGTCAGAGTTTCGTCTCAGGCTGTAACTGAATCCATCACCCTCTGTGGTGGGGAAAATATAAAACCTTGACATTCAGAACAAAGCTAAAATCTCTGAGGGAGAAATTATCCAGCCTAACTGTCAATGATACTGATTTGCCATTTAAAAAAAAAAAAACACAAACTCAAATACAGAAACACTTAAGTGAATATGTTTACAAAAGAAAAATTTAAATCCAGAACCATCCATACATGGAAAACAAGGAGGGCTTGCTTTAGATAGAAGGAAACTATAATAAATCCACAGTTATTTAAAAAATGTTCACCACATGCTTTTTAAAAAATCATCATGAAAATGGTGCTTTAGTGAGGGCTGTATTAGATCTTCATCATTTTAACTGTTTGGAGCAGTAAACACAATTATATTTCCTGTTGCACAGATGAGGAAGTGAAGGCTCAGAGAAGATAATTGACCTGCCTAAAGTCCTTCAGGTAAGAAGTGGCAGGGTCATAGCTCAAACTGTCCAAGACCATGCCTATGCTGGAGAAAGTGGAAGACATGAACAACAGCCTTTGAAGGATGAGATTTTTCAAGCTATTGGCCATCCAGAGACAGCAGGGAGATACTCTTACCTGGGACTGAGCGTGTGGCTGCTGATGACTGACTGTCGAGAGGGGGTCCTCACGGTATCTGTGGCCAGGGACAGAGTACAACTCAGCCAGGACTGCAGACTGCCTTCTGGCTGGGAGCTGAGGATGGAGACATTATCTCTAGAACCAGAAGACAGGATGCTGTCAGCACAATGACAACCACAGTAACAGCAATAACTAGATATTAACCCCTAAGCATAAGCCAGGCATGTGCTACATGCTGTACTCCCATAACGTCAATCAGTGCTCACAACACCATCCCTGAGACGTGAGAGCCAGTGCTGTCCCCATTATATAGATGAGAGTAAACGGAATTTGAGGAGGCCAATTTGGGTCTTGCCAAGGTCATCCGTCTAGTTAGTGAAAAAGTTGAGATGCCAACCCTGGTTTCTCCGATTCTAATGCCCTTGCTACTAACTACTGCTCTTCCTTGGGGAGATAAGCACTCTAATATAGATATTGAGGCAATTCTGATTTTAAAGTAAAATTTGGCATTGAATTTTATACCAAGTGATAAGCCCATGGAATATGTCAAGTGTGAAGGTCTTAACTTCTTGCCTGCCTTAACCAGAATGTCTTTGTAGACAGAGCCTTTGCTTTTATGTCCCCTAATTCTGAAAGCAGCACAGGGTGAGGCTATGTGGGCCTGTCACTGATTTGGGTACTCAATGATTATTCTGTTTTCTAGTTGATATACTCACTCAACTATTATCTGTCAATATTTATATCAATCTTTATATCTATAACTATATATCTATTTTGATATCTGTATCTGTATTTATATATGCCTATATTTGTATCTGTCTATAAATTCATTTGTTTGTTTATAGCATGCTCCATGCCGGGCACCATGGGAAGGACGTATAAACATGAACCCAACATTGAACTTGTCCTCAAGACTCCATCTTACCAGAGTAGACATCTAATCTATAGAGATAACCACAAAATAAAGGAGAAAATTATTAAGGCCATAGAGAGGGATAGAAAGTAGGAGAATTAGGAGGGAGCCTTGATTTGCTTCTTGGAGGCATAAGGGAAGGCATCAAGTAGGGATAGCTGAGCCACAACTTGTTTGAAGGCTGGGGGTTGGCCATGCAGGGCCTGGGGAAAGGACTTTGAGCTGGAGGGAACAGCATACACATAGGTATGGACGTTGGAAAAGGGCAGGGCATGGGTGATATGCAAAATAGGAGTCCCAGGTACAGAGGGAAATAGGGTCAGATATGTGTGTCATTCTGAGGTAATAGGGAGCCACTGAAAGTATTTGGTGGGGACAGTGGTATGGAAAGTCATGGGCTTCTCTGTCTAAAAGAAGTTGGGCTGTTCAATAATGTGTCCCCAGTGCTATATGTTGTGACCATGGAGTCAGAGCTATCGTGGCATTGCCAGTAATTCTCCAAGCGGGCGTGCATGTTCCCTCTGCGGACTGGACCCGGAGAGCCAAGGGCTTGCCCTTGGCTTCAATGTCAACTGCTCAATTCCACTCAGGGTTCACTTACATCTCTTTTCCGCCATGGCTGGTGCAGTCCACTGCCGTCTGGACACTAGAAAGAGACACAAGAATGAGTCTGTCCCCCTTGTGCTTCCAGGGGAAGAAATGGTCTTCGATGTCAGACAAACTTCCAGCCTTTGCCCCTGTGTGATCTCAGGCAAGTCACCCTCCTTCTCTGACCCTCCTGGGCTCCTTTGTAAAATGCGGTGATGAATGGGGTTTGGTTGTGGGGCAGACTAAGCGAGATAACCCTTGTAAACGTCGCGGCCTGGTTCCTGACAAATAAATAGTGTTGATTAAAAGGCAACAACCATTATCCCTGCTCTTGTTTGAGTACAACCAGTACTGCTGTTATTAACAGCGTCATTATTGTCAACAAGCAACGCGTTTGCTTTATGTTCTTTGTGAGTGCGAGTGAATCAGACAAGAGGGCAGGTGGCCAGCTTTCCAAGGCGTTCTGGGAAACTCCGAGACTAATTACAGTGGTAGCTGTTCCTTAGGGAGCATCCCTTCATTCAACAAAGATGCTCTACCTGTGATCTCATCTAACCATCCCGCCTATCTCCATTTAGTGAATGAGGAAAGGGACACCCTTGTAAGGTCACATAGCTTTGAATCCATCCCAGGTCTGTAAAAGCTATTAACCTCATGCTCTTTACCAGTTGTCCCGCATGCGGGTGTGGACAACCAGACCACACCCTCGGACACCAGAGACCTCATCTGAATCCTGGCTTCACAAGCCAGGGCCTCCTGCTTTGTTCTTCGCATGGAATCTGGGGAATTCCTTCCTTAGAAAACCTGGTTGTTCTCCAAGGGATGTACCTGTGGTTCCTTGGTCCCTATCCTCGAGGATTCGTCAGTCTTGGGGCTCCTATTCATATCTATCTGTCCCCACCAGACTGCAAGAGCCCCTCATGATCCAAGAACGTGTTTTATTCATATCTTTAGCCCCAGGGCTCAGGCCAGACCAGAAGTCCTTTCAGACAATGTTTTGTGAATCCAATGAGCTCCAGCCATGGGCTAAGTCCAACCTACAAACGTTTTTTATAAATAAAGTTTTATTAAAACACAGCCACACTAACTCATTTCCATGTTGCGCATCACTGCTTTTGCTCTACCGTAGCAGAGTAGTTGCAAGAAAGATCATGTGGCCCCCACAGCCTAACATATTTACTATCTAGCCCTTTATTTTTTATCGTTTTTTAAAAATGTTTATTTATTTTTGAAAGAGAAAGACAGAGCGTGAGCAGGGGAGGGGTAGAGAGAGAGGGAGACACAGAATCCAAAGCAGGCTCCAGGCTCTGAGCTGTCAGCACAGAGCCCGACGTGGGGCTCGAACTCATGGACCCCGAGGTCATGACCCGAGCCGAAGTCAGACGCTTAACCAACTGAGCCCCACTGTCTAGCCTTTTAAAGAAAGGATTGCTGTGACCTCTCCACCATAACAAAAGCAACCTTTGTGAATGACCCTGGGAGAAGAAGAAGAACGACCCCCAGAGATGCCCATGATCTAATCCTTAATCCCAAGAACCTGGAGCTACATTTCCTGACACGGTAGAAGGGACTCTGCAGATGTGGTTAAGGTTAAGCATCCTGAGATAGGGATATTATCCTGGATTATCTGGGTGGGCCCAACCTAGGCCCTCACATCCTTCAAAGCAGGGAACTTTCCCCAGATATGGTCAGAGGGAGATGTGGCTATGGAAGATTGGCCGAGAGGCAATATTGCCGGCTCTAGAGATATAAGTGTCACAAGGTGTTTTGGTATCTTCTACAACCTGGAAAAGGTAAGGAAATGCATTCTCCCCTAGAGTCTCCAGAAGGAACACAGTCCTTTTGATACCTTTATAAGGCCAGGGAGATCCTTGCTGGGCTTTTAAAAAAAATGTTTATTTATTTTTGAGAGAGAGAGAGAGAGAGTGAGAGCGAGCATGAGGAGGGCAGGAGCAGACAGAGGGTAGCAGAGGATCCGAGGGGGGCTCTGTGCTGATAGCAGGGAGCCCGATGAGGGGTTCAAACTCACGAACTGTGAGATCATGACCCGAGCTGAAGTTGGATGCTCAACCGACTGGGCCACCCAGACGTCCCAATCCTCGTTCGGCTTCTAAACAACAGAACTGTAAGATAATAAATCTCATGTTGGTTTAAGCCACTAAATTTGTGTTAATTTGCTACCGCACAAAAAAAAAAAAAAAAAAAAAAAAAAAAAAAAAAAAAAAAAAAAAAAAAAAAAAAACCAACCTTGCAGTAGAACAAAACTGTCTTTGCTGGGTGACCCTGAATCTTCTTGAGGATCTATAGACAAAGTTTTGATGGAGCTTTTCTTTAAATGCTTACTGATTTATTTTGAGAGAGAGGAACAGAGGATCCTAAGCAGGCTTTGCAATGACAGTGCAGAACCCAACTCAGGGCTCCAGTTCACAAACAGAAATCATGCCCTGAGCTGATTTCCATAGCCAGATGCTTAACCGACACAGCCACCCACGTGCCCCTTGATGTAACTTTTTAACAAACTATTGAAAATACTTTAAAAAAAATCCACTTTGCGGGGAGTGCCTGGATGATTCAGCGGGTTAAGTGTGTGAATGGTTGGACAGCACAGAACCTGCTTGGGATTCCCTGCCCCCCTCTCTCTCCACCCTGAAGTGGTCAATGTGAGTAGATCCGATTCTGATCCTCCTGCTGCTCTGGGTCTTTCCATGCCTCTGCTGGGTTAGGGTTGTGGAAAGAATAAGACACTGAGAGAAAAGGCGACCAAAGCCTAGGGGCCTCGCTGTGTGGCATGGGTCTACTCTCTTTCCTGCTTGCGATCTCAATTTCCCTCATTTGGGGTAAGCCTCTGGCTCCTGCCAGACTCTGGCTATCACAGGAGCTAATCCCAGGGCCCGCTTCTGCCTTAACAGAAAGAACCGGGTTTTCTAAGCCAATATTCTCTATGAGAAATCAGCAGGCAGCAGGCGTGACCCATCACTGCTGTATCAATGACTGTTGCACCCTGTATCACCACGCAGGGAAAAAAAAATGGTGAAGAATCTTAAGAAGCAATCTCATAAGAGGGTAAGATTATCAGTGGTCATTATTAGTGCCTTCGAAGCCCTGTGACTCTGGAAAAGAACCAGCCGCGAGAAATAAAAAGACACAGGTATGGATGCTTATGGAAAATAATCTTACGTTTTTATAGAAATTTTTATCTGTGCACTGGTTGCTTTTGCCTGTGAACTCATGTCACTGCACGTCCACAGAACTCCTGAGGTTAAAGTCAAGGTCTGCTGGCCATGCTGCCTGTCGACTTCCTGATGACCCCACTCTACCTGCCATTTTTGAAGGTCTCGACAAAATGGAGTATGTCTGAAATAAAGAGGCGGGGTGGAGACGGGCTTCTGGAAGCCACCTCACGCCTTATGGTCCGAGAAACTGCGGAAGGCACTTAACAGCTTCGTTCTGAGGTGGTCTGCAGCTTGGAAGGAGGGGGAGGGGAAAGGCTTTCAGGCTGAAGCAGGCTATTTTGTTCTGCGTGATCCTGAGACTCATTGAACCGGATGGGTAGAAATCGCCACCAGGTTGACTTTTTATAAGCCGTGGATTATTGGTCCTGGTAGATACTGGAGTTTGTACACCACAGTCTACAGAGCCTTTGCATTCTTGGAGACCTCACAGGGGCGTCTAAGGGGTCAGGGAGAGAGACCAAGTAGGGAGGCTTGACCCCGAACCTTCATTTCTTTCTGCACTCCATCCTAAGTTAGAATTTTCTCCAGGACTTTGTGTTGGTATACAAAATAAAAAGGGGTGGGGTTCTACTTGAGAGGGAGTTTGAAACCCACTGACCCTTTTATCCTATGAAGAAAGAGTCTCTGTGCTCCAAGTTCCAAAATGGGACTGCATTTTTTACTGCACCCCCTGTCTTTTTTTTAATGTTTATTTGTTTTGAGAGAGCAAGAGTGAGCATGAGTGGGGAGGGGCAGAAAGAGAGGGAGAGAGGGAGAATCCCAAGCAAGCTCCCCCTACTGTCAGTGCAGAACCCACTGCAGGACTCGAACCCACAAACTCTGAGATCATGACCCGAGCCCAAATCGATAGTCGGACGCCCAGCAGACGGAGCCACCCAAGCACCCCAACGTACCTCCTGTCATAACGTAGAAGGTGAATATTGCTGGTGGTGGTGATGATGATGATTTTAATGTGTTGACTAGGCAAGCAGAGGCCCAGGAAGGGCAGGAGACCTGGTCCGCATCTATTTGGCGGTGCAGCCCGGACAGAACCCTGTCTCCTGACTCATCGGTGGCTCTTTCTCTCACGTTGGCGCACGTGGCTTTTAAAGAACTTGTGCCAAGCATTTGCGGACAGGGGCTTGCTGCTAAGCAAGATAATTAATTACATGTCTTCTGTTGTGGTCCTTCAGCGAGAGTCTCCATCAGACAACTCCAGTCTAAACGCACACACTGCCTGAGAAGTAACGTGTGAATGCGTTGGCCCCAGGTCCCAGTGACACAGACACGCATCCACCAGAGTGACAGGCCAGTTACTGGGTGGAGAACAAGGACCGTGACAAGAGAAAGGGGGAAGAAGGGGTCTGTTGAACACGACAGCAGAGTTTGCTTATCGGGAGTGTGGGGGGTGGGGTCCGCCTGGAAATCATCGCGGCCCCTGCACTTACTGCCTGAGCCCAAGCCGGCTCCTCGACTTCTCAAACTCCAGTGTCCTCATCCACAAACTGGGTACCAGCCTCAAAAGTTGGGAGACAGTGTCTACAAAACAAGTAGGTTGTGCAGCCTGACACAAAGCGGGTCCTCAGCAAAGAGTACCTGCCTGGCTGGGGGATCCAGTCCTCCCAAGCTAGAAGGACGCTCGGAAAGCCAGATGGCCTCCGTGGCATCATTTAAACGTGTGCTATCCTGCAGTAGGGAGCCACGCTTGGGAATGGGGCATCAACCTTCTCAGAATAATGGAGACAGGCTCTGAGTCTGTATCTTTTTAACAGTCTGGCTGGAGCCCGGGACCCCTAATAAATAAATTAACTCAAAATTGTGCCCGTGGCGGGAGCTGCAATCTTTGGAGCGACCCACATCTTCCCATTTTTCTCACTGCGGCCTAATTTTACCCAGGCTGAGAAACATACAAGTCACATACAACACAGCAATGGAAGGCACCTTTCTAGAGCACTGGTCTCCGACTGGGCCAACTGGAATTGACACACTCTCAGCTGACCTAGGAGTCAGAGGTCATCCATCGACCTCGCCACACTTCTCCCCCCCTCCCCACCCCCCCCAGCCCCCAGAAAGGTGAGTAGCTACAGACCCTGGGATAGCCCCAGGAATAGATGGGGCCGTCAGCTGACACATCTCTCCCTCCAGGAGTAATCAGCTTGCGCCAGGCCGCGGGGAGAACAGCTTAAAGCATTTCCCCCATTCATCCGAGAAGGCTGACGCCACCGCTGAAGTCGCAAGGCAGAGCCTGAGTGCAGGAAGGCACGGGAGTCAACACTGCCACACGGGCCGCCTGGCTTTCCGAGCACGTAACCACGTTTCCAGCCTGGAAGGCCTGTTACGCTTGGATTGAATTCCCAACACGGGGAAATGTGACTTTTCATAATTTGAACAAGTCTCTTAAAGAACCTTACCTCCAGCAGAAGCACCACACACACACACACACACACACACACACACACACGCTGTTTCTCTCTCTCCGCCCGGTGGGTGTGAATCCTAATTGAGAGCTCAGTTTGGAGAGGTACTTCGACGAATCCCTCGGGCTCCCATCCAAACCTCGTACCCCGGGAGATGAGACAATTAAGAAGGAAGTACACCGTGGAGCCGTCAGGATGGGGGAACAGGAGGAGAGGCTGGCACCCAGGTAGGAGCTGGGGCTTTCCTCCGGATGTTGGCTCTGCAGCCTGGCAAGGCACGGACTGCCGTTCACTGCCGATAATCATTTCAATGGCAGTGTGACCAGAGAACAAGGTTTGTGCCATATTAATTCTTCGAAATGTGTTGAGACTTCTTTGTGGGCAATTCCCCCCCCACCCCGCCCCATCCTTGTGCCACTGGTCAGATCTCTGCTCTGTGTCTAGTTCAATTCCAAGTTAATGGGGCAGAGAGTCAGGATGGAGTCTCGCTGAGACCCAAGGCCATGAAAATGCAGACAGGAAGCTGGGGTTCAGATGGGATTCCCGGGGACCTCAGAAAAGTAGGATTGGGACAGAAGGTGAGCATGAGGCTTTTCACCTGGAACAGAAAGAGATAAGCGTGCCTCCTATCAAGATGAGGGTGAGGGCAGGGTCCCTTTAAGGCTCTGAAGGATCCCCTCTAAGCTGAGACTGGAGTGATGTCTGTGACCCTCTATGACCTTGCCACCAGGATCTCGCTTCCCAGGCTCCTTGCTTCCTGTCATACCTCTGCCCAGTCTATACCCACACCTGCAAGCACCCACACCCTGTGCCTCTTTCCAATTTGGTTATTTTTATAACTTTCATTTGTTCTGCTGATAGCTTTCATTTATTAGAAAAGCTATCCTAACACCCCAAACCCAACTAATCCAATTAAAAGTGGGCAGAAGATGTTCGCAGACATTTCTCTAAAGAAGACCTACAGGGGCACCTGGGTGGCTCAGTCGGTTGAGCGTCCGACTTCAGCTCAGGTCATGATCTCACGGTCCGTGGGTTCGAGCCCCGTGTCGGGCTCTGTGCTGACCGCTCGGAGCCTGGAGCCTGCTTGGGCTTCTGTGTCTCCCTCTCTCTCTGCCCCTCCCCTGTTCATGCTCGCTCTCTCTCTCTCTCTCTCTCTCTCTCTCTCGGCCTCTCAAAAGTAAATAAACGTTAAAAATAATAAACAAACAAACAAATAAATAAATAAAATCAGGCGTATCAAGTCTGTAACTTACAGGAGCAAAATCTCCTCAAAGAGGAACCTACCTAGTACAGCGAGGACTAGGTTTGTTCACCGCAGAAACTTTAGAATATGTAAATACGCTTGAAGCAAACCAACATTTAGGTCACCAGCAATGCCTTCCACCAGAATGTTGGTGTGTTTCCTTCTGGGCTTTCCTTTCCCCCTTAACGAGGCATGGTCAGCTCTACGGGCTCTCCCCACTGGCTAGACCGCAGCTGACTCACGTCACTGCTTCCTTCCCTCACTGCCCAGCTCATGCCCACACCTCCTACAGGTCAGCAGCTGGCTCCTGCTTCACCCTATTAAGAGGGGTGTGACAGGCAAAGGTCTAGGATGGGAAACTCAGCAGCCCCGGGTTTTGCAGCACCTAATTTGCTGTGCGACCCCGACCTTCCCCGGGGTCCTCACGAGAGTGGAGAGGGTTGCACTCCATGGTCTGATCGTTGATTGTTGTGGCTGCAACGCATGCCATCCCCCACAGAGACAAAGTCCAAGAGGGACCAGGGGCCGATGCAGCCCACACAGGGGTGTGTAAGGAGGGCACCGCCTCTGAAGGTTAGGTTAAGGCATCCTGTTTCTTCCCAAAGCAATCGCAAAGAAGATGTCTCTCCCTGCTGCCCAGGCTTTGCGACAGAGGCTGGGATGGGGACAGAGAGGCTGCAGCCAGACAGGCAGCTGTGGGTTCCAGAGAGGTGACAATGCCAAGGTTGCAAAGGCAGCTTTGGGGGACAGGACGCTATGGGCCTCCTGCACGGGCTCAACAGCCCGGGCCCATGTGGCCACCCGGGGCACCCCTGGCCTGCGGCAGCTCAAGACTTGAGTGGAGATGGTAGGAAGCAACCTGTCTTCCGAGAAAAGAGAGAAGCCCTGACACTGAACTTGAGAGGCCTTGCCTATCACCTGCTGGCTAATTTTGCATCCTTGAATCAGTCGTTGCCTTTGTGAAGCGATGCCCATTTCTGGGCACAAACACAGTGCACACCCTTACAGCCTGCGTGCCTGGTTCTAAGCGATGTCCATCTGGTACCTCATTTGACTCTGACAATCCTACCAGGTAGGCAGAGGGCTGAGTCCACGGAATGCCAATCTGCAGATCAAGAGTGGTCAACACCTGGCCATTTCACGTGGTCGGTTCAAAGTATTACGTCCACTTGACGCGTGAGGGGACTGGGCCCAGCTTGGACGCGTCACTGGCCACGATGACAAACTGGAGCCCACTCTGCAGACACGTCCCAGGGTCACCTCCCCTAAGTCTTGGAGAGCTGGGCCAGGTGGTTTCGGTGGCAACAAGGAGATGCTGACACTGGAGAGGAAGCAAGCATCCTGCCCCTCCTCACGGGAGCCAGCCGGTCATCCCTCCCACCATGAGATGCATCCGGGTGTCCCCGCAGATGGGCCCCCGGAGGACCCGAGACAAGGAGTTCCGTCTACCAAAGGCTGCAGGGCACCCCAGGGCCCCAGGCCACCTGCTGCACCCCGCTGCGCCTGCCCCCCACCCCCCATAGGTTACCTCTCCGTGTCACTGTCGCTGGATGCCAGCTCCTCCAAGGCTGCCTGCAGGTCGGCAATCCGCCGGATGGACGTCTCCAGGTCTGTCTGGAGGGTCTGTCTCACTGCCGAGAGGTCCTCCACGTGCTTCTCCTGGAGGCAGAGACCACAAGCGCATGTTGGCTTTGGGCAAGAACCCACACACCTGCCAGAGCTTCTGGGGAGGAGACACACGCTGGGCTGAGTCAAGTGTTCACTGAGCACCTAGTACATGGTGGGCACCCCTTGAGGCATGCTCTCTGCACAGATGGGCTTATGGACCCTCAGAGAGATGCTTTGAATTTTATAGAGGGCAGGGGCGTTTGGGGGGCCACCGGGGCCTGGCCCATGGACAGCGCTCACTCATCCACGCTGGGGTTCTGAGCCCAGCGTGTCCGACCCCAGAGCCACGCTCGGAACCTGCACCACCCACTTTGCACCAGGTACTACACCCTGGATGGATGAGCAAATGTATGAGCCAATTAATGTTTCCCAGACCAGTCACCGAAGCTGGTTCAGGAAGCTGAGTCTGCCTCAGGGTTGGATCTGCAGTGGGAGATGGGGGTCGGCTGGGGAGCAGACAAGAATGGTTCGCGGGGCGCCTGGGTGGCTCAGGCGGTTAAGCGTCCAACTCTTGATCTTGGCTCAGGTCATGATCTCACGGTTCGTGAGGTCCAGCCCCAGGTCAGGCTCTGTGCTGCCAGGGCAGAGCCTGCTTGGGGTTCTCTCACTCTCTCTGCCCCTACCCCACTCGAGTGTGCTCTCTCTCTCTCTCAAAATAAATACACTTTTTAAAAAAGAACGGTTCCCTTTCCACTCTGCCGTGCCATCCTCAGAGGGTGCAAAGACAAAAACTGACAAGCCAACGGGGCTCGTCCCAGAGCACCCCACTGCCGTTTACTAAGATCCTTCTGTGCCTGGCACTGTGCTGAGCGTCTTACCCTCAGGACCTCCCTCCCTGCTTAAAAGCCTGGCGGATGGCTATCATTGCTCCCATTTCGCAGATGAGAAACTGAGGCCCGGGGAAGCAAAGGCTTAATGGCAGTGCTGGAACTCCAGCTCCGCGCATCTGCCTCTCCTCTGTGGGCTCATCTCTTCCCCCTCCGACCCTGCCCTAATCGGATTCTGTCCAGACTCGGGAAAACCTCTGACTTCCATTGGCAACTGGTTTCACCCACAGATTTCACCCACCCCTACCCTTTAATTGCAATGATTAGCAACTGAGGGTGATTTTGCGCTCCCCCCAGGAGACACTCACTGAGCAATGCCTGGAGACATTTTTGGCTGTCACACCTTGGTGTGTGTGTGTGTGTATGTGTGTGTGTGTGTGTGTGTCTCACTGGCACCTTGCAGGGATAATGCCCAACATCCTATAATGCACAGGACAGCTGCCTCCACAGAGCATTACCTCGCCCAAATGTCCACAGTGTCCCTGAGAAACCTCGGGTTAAACCCAGAATCTCACCTGCCAGCAGGTAAGCCCAGGGGGAATCAATCAAAGGCAGAGGGAGGTCTATAGGGGAGGATGCTTTGAGCGGTGGTGTTGAGGATGGGGAGAAGCTGAAAGCAGCCTCATCAGCCAACAACTGGGGATCGGTAGGGGGGTCACGGTGTACCACTTTGGCGCTCTTAGACATTCCCGTTGGAAATAAGGGCTGTGGCAGCATGGAATGCTTCTGCAGAATGAAGGCACGCAAGCGGGATAGAACGGAGGAATATCGTGTCCCTAGCAGTCTGCAAATAACATGCGCGCAGTTGGAAAAACACTTAGGAAGTTGGTAGCATTTATACGATGAGGATGAAGGGAGTGGGTATTATATATAAAATGTTTCTTTTAAGCTGTTCTAATATCATTTAAGGATTATTTGCCGACTTTAAGACATTTTTTCACATTAACGTTTGTTTATTTTTGAGACATTAAGAGTGTGAGCAGGGGAGGGGCAGAGAGGGGGAGACAGCGAATCCGAAGCAGGCTCCAGGCTCCGAGCTGTCAGCACAGAGCCCGACGCGGGGCTCGAACTCGGGGACCCTGGGATCATGACCTGAGACGAAGTCAGACACCTAACCGACTGAGCCACCCAGGTGTCCCTTGTCGACTGTTGTTTTAAGGAACATATCTATACCAACCGCTGAGGGCGTGGAAGGGGCAAAATATAAAGACTTAGGGTCAGACCTAAGCACAGTCCCTGGCTGCCCAATTAACTCACTAGCTGTGCAACTTCAAACAGTTTACAGCCCCTCTCTGAGCCTGGGATTGTTGCCTTTGTTTCGTAGATGAAGAAATGGAGGCCAGTGAAGGCATCCAGGGCAGTAAGGTACAGAGCCTGGATTTAAAGACGGCTCTTGGGGCGCCTGGGTGGCGCAGTCGGTTAAGCGTCCGACTTCAGCCAGGTCACGATCTCGCGGTCCGTGAGTTCGAGCCCCGCGTCAGGCTCTGGGCTGATGGCTCAGAGCCTGGAGCCTGTTTCCGATTCTGTGTCTCCCTCAAGGTCGGGGGTGACAAGGAGCTGGAAATGCATTGCAGTTGATCGAAGCCGCCAGCTGTGAAATCCCCATCTTGGTGCTGACAAGGTGAGAGACGGTCCGAGGCAGGGCACTCCCCTCCCCCACCGGGCAGGAGGCCAGTGGGCTGTCAGAGGAAATAACACACATGGCTGAGGAGGTACCTGCCTCTGGACGCCCACACGTCAGCTCCTAACGGCACCCAGAGAACTGGCTGGGCACGAAGTCCCTGTGGCTTCCGAGCTCAGCCCCTTCCTGGGGGCGACAGAATTGACCACCTTCTCCCAGGCGACGGGGCACCTGTGTCTTTGTAAGACACGGAGAGGCTGCGCAAGGGCCACGGCTGGGCCGTTTTAGGCATGTGGTGAATGTTTATTTGGGAGATTGGGAAAGTGAGTCGGGAGCAGTGGAATGGCCATGCAGCCGGGAGAGGACAAAGCCGAGATGGGCGGCCAGGTCTTGGGTTTCTCAGTAACAGCTCTTTATGCCTCATGAGCCTCAGGGATGAGAAGGGAGCACAGAGGTCCCCTCCCAGCTGTGCCTGGGTCAGCTGTGCCCATGCAATGTCACACGGAACCCTCCCGGAGCCTCCTGGAGGGCAGAGGACGGGGCCACCAGGGACAGGCACTGTCATCTCAGGGGTGGGTGACTCTGGGCTGGGACTAAGCAGGGGGGCAGAGGAGAGGAGGCGCTGAGACGAAGCAAATCTGTAATATCATGAAAGACAAAGTGGCCTCTGGACCCAGGGTGCCGGGGTTCAAATCCCAGCTCTGCCATTCACTGGCTGTGTGACCTGGAGCCAGTGGATCAGACTCAACCTCTCTGATCTCCAGAGAGGAAAGGCTTGGCCAACGCTGGCACTGCTATCATTTAATTCTTAGAGGAGAACGAGGAGTGACCGGAGTGGGGGGAGCATTGCTGAGGTTTGCCAAGGTCACGGGCGAGCAAGGACTCTGGCTCCAAGGCATTTTCAGTGCCCTGCAGAGGAAGGATGTGGGTGAAAAGCAAGGGCAGCAGAGGGGATGATGTAACCAGACAGAGCGAGGAGAGCTGTGAGCAAAACCATCCATAGGGATGCCTGGGGTGGCTCAGTCCATTAAGTGTCCGACTTTCTGCTCAGGTCATGACCTCACAGTTTCATGGGTTCGGGCCCCGCGTCGGGCTCTGCACCAGCAGCGTGGATCCTGCTTGGGGTTCTCTCTCCATCTCTCTCCCTGCCCCTCCCCTGCTTGCGCCACCTCTGTCTCTCTCCAATAATAAAACAACAACAACGAAAAAAAACCCTCCGTAGATAAGGGTATCTGTGGACCAAGGACGGGGCCCGGGGGAGTCACATCAGACTCAGCGGGAACACCCCAAGGAGACGGTTTGGGGAAGTCTAGAGTATGTGCCATCAGTAATCAGCAAACCTTTCCTGCTTCAACTTGGAAGACAAATAGCGTCTCTGATTGCACAGACCAAGTCATTAGGAGAATGGATGCGGTGCCCCAAACAGCGTCCCTGGGGCAGACAAAACAATGCCCCCGCGGGAGACCCCTCGGGAGACACACAGGGGACACGCAAGAAGGGGGCACAGGGGAGGCATCCTCTCTCGCGTCTGGGAGCCTGGGACCTTCTTCCATTCTCCACAACATCTGACTAACAGTGCTTGGGATTGGACTGGGACCGCCACGTGCACATGGGGTCGCGTTTGGAGGCCAAGCGTGAAGCCGGTCTTCTCTGTTTTCATCTCTCTTTGGAGGCTTGAAGCGTGAAGAAGTTGGGGGAGGAATTAGGATATGGAACTATTCAGACAGTTAGACGTATACGGCAGAAACCCACTAGCAAATATGCCCACGTTCATCTATGGCCATATACACACTGTAATAACACACAACATAGATATTATATACATGTATGATATATTCATTACATGTATGTATATGTATGTTTATATACCTTTCATTCATTCAATAAACATTTATCGAGCACCTACCGTGTGCCAGCCCTGATCTCGCACAAGCGATGCAGGCTAAGTCCTGACTTCTGCGGAGTTCAACATTCTCGCAGGGACCTCATCTATCTGTATTGCTGGTGTTCAGAACATAGCAGGCGCTCAGCGTATGTTTGGGGATCGCATGAATGGTGTTATAGCATGACTCTAAGTGATGAATGAAGGGGGGGGCCTGGGAATTCATTATGCATACGTACTTCCACGCACACAGAGATAAATACAGTACTGTGTGTATGTGCTGACCTCCCCAGCATCGCTTAAGAGAATCATTAACCCTTGTTAAACTTCCAGGCTACTCCCCCTGGAACATGCCACACAGAGCTGCCCGTGTGGGAGGTCGTTCATACGATAATTAGTAGCTGCAATTAAAATAATCTCCTCCTGTGACATTCCATTGGAGGCTAATATTTAAAACCGTTGTTTGTTTTCTCTGCCCAGGGCATCTTTAGCAGACGGCCTCCTATCTGCAAATGCGCGGGACTCACGCATCAGTTTCTGCGGCTCGAGAGGTTGCCTCTACATCCTTTCAAGGTATCCCACTGCAAAGTTCATTTCTCCTAGTTTATATTGTAGATCAGGCCATCTCAAAACACCTCCTGAACATAATGAAAACTCACTTTGTTTTCTTCTGATGCGCTAAAGACAAATAGAAATGTTATGTTACAGAGCCTGCCTCCCCCCCAAAAAAACATTACACACAAATATATATGCTATTACAAATACATGTAAACACGCATGAACACACGTGTACGTGCATATATTCAGATGCACCTGTGTGAACATTCCCAGTCTGACACATAGCACATACTTAATAAATATTTGTTTAATTCATTATTATGTGAGTATATTTATTTCTATTTTCTCAAATGGGCAGGTCCCCTGCTAAATGTATGAAATGCCACATCTCACATAATTTTTATGAGAGCCCTCAAAGTCAAGTGCGACACAAGCACATAAGAAGTAACTTGAGGACATGATGACAAAGTAATGGCAGAGTTATTATCTCAAGCGGTGAGAGGTCAGGTGACTTTTGTTTTCCTTTCTATACTTCTCCAGACTTTCTGCAAAGAATATGGATGACGTTTCTTATCAGAAAGTTAAAAACTATATAAGATTTTATTTCTGTCTATGCTGCGAGGAACATTCCGCCGGACCACCCGCTCAGTGCCTCCCACGCTGGCCTCATTATCCCCATTTTACAGATGAGCAGACTGAGCCTCAGAAAGGTGAAATCATCCGCCCAGGGTCGTGCACCCAAGACACAGTGATCTATAGCTGGACCCCGGTGTCCTGACCCCAGCCCATGGCTCTTGTCCCCTTTGCTCCTGCTTTACCCAAGGATATTTGTGTCTCCAGAGGTGGGGGGAGTCTTCTCTGAAAGAAGTGATGAGATGATGGGGAATTTCCATTGTTTCATTCAAATTGTCCCAGGGTCCCTTGCCTGGGAGAAATGAGGCTGCGAGGCAAAATAAAAGCCCTGTCAACGGTGTCCTGGCTAGAGTTCCAGGGTCATATTGGCAATGGAACAAGCATTAGCATGGAGCTTTGAGTCTCAATGTGGGAAAGGAAAGTCTTGGGGTACCCAGTAGAAACCCCCAAAGGAAGCACCAGATTCTCTTACTTAGCGCCCAACCTCCAGCAACAAGAGGGGTTAAGGATAAGGTGGTCATCACTACGCAAAGTCCCTTTCTTCACAATCTTCCTGCAAATTAATTATTTGATTCTGTGTTTATCATGTGGTAATAGACACAGAGAGACTCATCAAAGACCCCGAAGTCACACAGCTAGAAAGTGACACACAGATTCAAGCTCAGGGCTGCCTGTTTCCAAAGGGTCAGTAAATACCTAACAACTCCTCTCACCCTTTTCTGCACCTGCAGCAGGCATGTCCAATCGATCCCTGCATACACCCAGGCAATCTAGGGCCAGAGTCCCCTCTATGAACCACCAAGCTAAGCACTTCATCCAGTGGCCCATCTACGAGCGTCAGCCGGAACTCCCAATCGTGCCACACCCTAAAAGACCTCCATCTTCCTGGAAATGCATCCTGAATCCTCAAAGAAGATACTGATATTAGTTGGTTGGTTGGCA